ACCTGTATTTAAATCAGGCTTTATAATTATTTGAGTGACCGAGATCATGTAAGTGTATTTCAAGTGTACTATGTATTAATGTATTGAGCTGTACTTAAAATCAGGTTTTTAAATTATTTGACTGATAGAGATCATGCAATGTTATTATTTGTTTATTGATTGTTATGAACCTGTCTGAGGACCACAGATGGAAATTAGCTATTAGCTATAATCTGGCATATTGTATCTCTTCTCTTTGCTGAGATTAATGTTTTTGTATGCATGGTCCTTCTATAAATAAATACAAATACAAGATATCAAAGCCATTTCAAACCCTCTCCTATCGTGTTTGGGTAAAATCTGACCGATTTACTACATCAATCATAAATCTTGTGTTTTACATTTGATTTCTTCATGGCCTTATGCTATTCTCAACAGTAAGCATTTGAACATAAACAACGGCTGATCCCTACTTTCATTGAATTATGAGTGGTTTAGTCAACTTTATAACAACTATTGGTGTTCCTGGTAAAAAATGAATGGGTAACACTAGATATTACACAACCAAAAACAACAACCATGGACATTTTGGAAAACATTTTCAGCGTCTATTCTTTGTATATTCACTGCAGAATGTAAACCAGTAGTCTGAGACATTGTTTAAAGATTGATATTGTATGTATTAAAAAGTGGTGATGATTAATGGTTGTTGTGTTAATGTTAGAGCAGTTACAACGTTCTTATAATACATCCATGGTTACAACAGACACCAGAACGCGACAGGACGGTTAATCGAACTTGTGCTCAGGGTGATTAATCGAGAGAAAAACACCCGGTAGTTCAAGTTAAATCTGCACAAAAGCTCACAAACACACCGGTGTAAAACAGTAAATGTTAACCCTGGTTTGATATGGAATTAATGTTAATGTAACAGTCAGATACAACAACAAAAAACTGAGCTGAAAGTATCAGAGCTGCAGCTTTGACCTCTGTGAATAAACTCAACATTTAGCAGAGAACATACAACCATAATTATATAATAGAGTTACCTTTCGAAAGACCGCGTTCATAGCTCGACCTCCTTATGTCTGTGTTAAAAGACAACACACGCTTGATGTTTGCTTAGATTAAATGTTTGTTAAAAGCGTTCAAAACACATGATATGCTGCTACCGGAAGTGTGCACAAGAGATGAGTCCGTCCGTATTTGTGTCCAGAACGAGGGTTCCGGGACAGGAATCACGTTCGGACTTTCTCATGAATTTTGTGTTGCTTTATTTAATGTCATTTAAAGTGGAATCACGTCATATGCTATAATATATATTGACTTATCTATGTATGTATTATGTTTACATTGTAAATCAGTTATGTTGTCTTTTTGTGCATGATAAA